TTCCAATACCTAAACCAGGTCGTGATCATACTGATCCTTCAAATTCTCGACCAATTTCATTGACCAGCTGCGTTTGCAAAACTATGGAACGTATGATCAATAATCGCTTAGTTTGGTACCTGGAAACCAATAATCTACTAACACATATACAATGTGGTTTCCGTAAAAACAGAAGTACCATCGATCATTTAGTTCGTTTGGAAACTTTTGTTAAAATGCCATCATAAACAAACAACATGCAGTGTCTATCTTTTTCGATTTAGAAAAAGCATATGACACTACATGGAAACATGGCATTTTAAAAGATTTACGTGATTTTTGGTTGCGAGGTCGTTTGCCTCAATTTATCTCCAAATTTTTATCAGAGAGGCAATTTCAAGTTCGTGTGGGTTCCACCCTGTCTGATCATTACAATCAGGATCAGGGTGTCCCACAAGGCAGTATTTTGTCTGTCATATTGTTCAGTATTAAAATAAACAGCTTATCTAAGGTTTTAAATGATTCCATTGGTGGATCCATATTCGTGGATGATTTTAACATTTCATGTCGTGGTAAAAATATGCATACTATTGAAAGACAATTACAGTTATGTCTAAATAAAATCCATAAATGGTTTTAAATTTTCAAAATCAAAAACGAATTGTATACATTTTTGTAGAAAATACAAATCACATAAAGACCCAAAACTAGTTTTTGATAGCACTCCTATTAAAGTTGTAAAAGAAGCCAAGTTCTTGGGCATTATTTTTTACCAGCATCTGACCTTTTTACCACACATAAAATATTTGAAAAATAAATGCCTGAAGGCCCTTGACCTTCTGAAAGACGTTTCAAATTCAAAGTGGGGAGGGGATCAGAAAACCCTACTCCAACTCTACAGAGCCCTTATCCGCTCCAAACTGGATTATGGCTCCATCATCTATGGTGGAGCCTGTAAAAGTTATCTAAAATTATTAGATACAATACATCATCAAGCCCTGCGGCTTTGCCTTGGTGCATTCAGAACATCACCCATTAATAGTCTGTACGTGCAGGCTGATGAGCCATCTCTCAAACAACGTCGTATAAAACTATCATTACAATACGTCACAAAACTATTTTCCAATCAATCTAATCCAGCATATGACTGTGTTTTTCATCCTTTGTATGATGATCTGTATCAAAAGAAACAATCCCTCAATCCACCCCTTGGAATAAGAATAAAACTTGAAATAACTGCTGCAAAAATTGACATCTCTCCCACTCAAATACTGTTGTCTCCTCCGTGGCAACTGGTAAAGCCAGAAGTAGATCTTTCCTTAACTAAACTAAAGAAATCAGACACTAACCAACTAATGTATCAGCAAGAATATAATCAATTAAGAAGCACTTACAACACTTCCCAGTCCATATTTACTGATGGATCCAAGGACGGTGAAGCAGTTGCTAGCGCCACTGTTATTGGATCCAGAACAATATCATCCACATTACCGAATGACAGTTCAATGTTTACAGCAGAATCACAGGCAATCTTAACAGCTCTCAAATATATTAATACTCAGTCTAAACATACGCAGTTCATCATATTTTCTGATTCCCTTTCCTGTCTTCAGGCCATTAAAATATTTCATCTGAACATCCACTTTTACGTGGAATTATAGAATTACATAACGATCTTGCGACTGGCCAGTACGACATCGTCTTTTGTTGGTTACCTAGCCACGTTGGAATTATTGGTAACACAATGGTCGATGCTGCTGCAAAAGCAGCACTCAACAAATCTGTGACACCACTTCTGATCCCGTACACTGATTTTAAACCCGTGATTAGATCTTACATCCGAGATCTAATGCAAAAGAAGTGGGCTACCCAAGTAGGTATCAATAAATTACATGAAATTAAACCAAATATCGGTTACACCTACTTGGGGTGTCAGTCCAGATTTGAAGAGGTCATTATGCGACGATGTCGTATTGGCCATTCCAGATATTCACATGAGTATTTGTTACAAGGTGAAGATCCTCCGTTTTGTATCCCTTGTGATGAAAGAATCACAGTCAAGCATGTCCTGCTTGACTGTATTGATTTTGCCATCACAAGGGATACTTATTTCAATGTTTCATCTATTAAGGATCTTTTTAATATCTGTTCTCATTTAGTTATTGTTTTTTTAAAAGAAATTGAATTGTACCATACATTTTGATTAATATGTTGTGTATATAATATACTTTTTTATGATTGGCAGGATAAATGCAATAACTGAGATTGTTAGTGGCTGTATCCTCGAAGGGGGTTGAAGTAATGTAAAATGATTGTCCCCTGGAGAGGGTATGTAAGACCACGTCATTCAAAGTAGATTTGTTCTTACCATTGTCTTTAATCGTAGAATATATGTTATTTTAATATGGCTAAGTATGTTAATAATCGCCAACACCTGAAGTGATGATGTAAATCCTGCTGGGTTCCATGCAGGAAGCTGAAGTACTGTAAGTCCCCATGGTACCTAGTATGGTGATCTAACTTCAGTTGCTGGTGATCTACAGCTCGTTTTTATACCGTGATGTTATATTTAGTGCTATCAATTTTATGATTCCATTTTCAGTTTTAAACTATATTTCTGTGATATGTCTAGTTATTTTACTGTCCTTCGTTGGCAGGTTTTTATATAAATTTCAATATATGTATTATGTTTAACTATTGCTAGTCACGATATGGCTGAAATATTGCCAATGTGACTTAAAATTTTAACTCACTCACTCACTCATCCATAAACTGCCGGAAAGAATCCGACTGACTAGTGTTTTGACAAAAGATGAGTGGTGTTGTTTAGATTCCAGTTGCTGGACAGCACTTAGTAACTAAAAACTGCTTGATCATAAATTAGACTACCTCACATTTGTCAATTTGTTGGACATTAACTGAAAACTAAAATGCTGCAGTTTAATTTTTCGTTATTTAAAAGTATTGAAAAACTTAACAGCTTGTGGACGATGTAAGACGAATCTGCTGTCATATATTAAACGAGTTTCAGTGTATTTGACCACATTACTGTAGTTGTTTAATATACAGCCTTTGAATAACGAACTCGGTGCTGGCTTGTTTTTTGTTATTCGAAAAACGAATAACGAATAACGAACCCACTGGAAATACGGTATCTTAAACTTGTTATACCAAGTCTGAATAACGAACCCGGTGCTGGTTTGTTTTTCGTTATTCAAAAGTATTGAATAACTAAACAGCTTTTCGATGATGATGTAAGACGAACCTGCTGTCATATATTAAATGAGTTTCAATGTATTTGACCACATATACTGTAGTCACAAGATTTGTCCCCGATTGAGCATCTGTGGGACGAGTTGGATCGACGCGTTCGCAGAAGGAATCCACCGCCCGAAACACTTCCGGCGCTTCTTGATGCACTTCAGCATGAATGGCAGCACATCCAACAGCGTGTTATTGACAACTTGATTGCATCTATGGGTCGTCGGTGTCAAGCGGTGATTGATGCACGTGGTGGGCACAACTGACACTGACATTTTCTGTACCCCTGTGTCTGACTAGGTGACACGATTAATGTTTTGAACATTGTGTACATTGATCTTCAAACAGTGTTTCAATTATGGTTTCTGTGTCCTATTTTGAAACAATCGCATTATATAACATTTTGAAAGTCAGTGTCAAGTTTCTTTTTTTTGAAGAGTATATAATGATCTCGCTACGGGCCAATATGACATCGTTTCCTGTTGGTTACCCGGCCACGTTGGAATAACTGGTAAGACAATGGCTGATACAGCTGCAAAAGCACCGCTCAACAAATCTGTGACACCACTTCTACTTCCATACAATGATATTAAACCTGCACTTAGATCTTACATCAACAATCAACAATCTTATGCAGGTATCAATAAATTACATGACATTAAACCAACTATCGGTTACACCTACACCCACAGTCCAGATTTGAAGAGGTCGTAATGCGGCGATGTCGTATTGGCCACAGCAGATATACACATGAACATTTATTGAAAGGTGAGGATCCTCCATTTTATTGCCCTTGCGATGAGAGAATTACGATCAAGCATGTCCTGCTTGCATGTCTTGATCAAGGGATAAATATTTCAAATCTTCATCTGTCAAGGATCTTTTAAAAAATATTAGTTCTCTTTTAATCATTGGTTTTTTAAAAGAAATAGTATTGTTTGAACGTTTTTGATTAATCTGTTTTGCAAAATAAGTAAATGTTGTTTTAAATTTGGTAGATTAAATAAGCAACTGAGATTGTCAGTGGCTGTATCCTTGAAGGGGGTTAAATCGCTGTAAGATTATTTTCCCCTAGAGAGGGTACGTAAGTTCCACATCACTCGAAGTAAATTTAAGCCTACCACGATTTTAATCTTAGTATATTTGTTAGTTTTAATTAATGGCTAAACTTGCATACAGTCGCCAGCGTTTTTACAATGTATTGTTCTGTTTAGTAATAGCTTTTTATGGTCACATACTAGTCCTTTGGTGACAGGTTTTTAAATTGTCTAAATTAACGTTTTCTTAATGTATAATTGCTTCTGTCACGATATGGCTGAAATATTGCCGATGTGACTTTAAATATTAACTCACTCACTCACTCATCACTTGCTTGAAAACGACGTTAGAACCTACACTGAAACGTCGCTCTTAATTGTGATGAAGAAGTTGTTCATCCATATATCATATCCTGAATTCAAGATACAGCTCCCATTCAACTTTTGTCATCACCTCCTTCGTAAAGCCAAATGTTGACCTGACATTAACTAAACCTACGAAATCAGATATGAACCCACTTATTTATACTCAAGAATACAACCAATATGAAACACACTTACACTTACAAATCTTACATATGGATCTAAGAACGGTGACGCAAAGTTGCTAGTGCCACTGTCACTGGATCAAGAATATTATCTTCACGATTGCCAGATAACAGTTCCATAACTTTACAGTAGAAGCAAACGCCATTTTAACGGCACTAAAATATATCAGGAACCAATCTAAACATAAACAATTTATTTTGCGCCTTTTATTTAAAATCACTCACTCTATATTGATACACAATGTATATACACCGAAACATTAATATGCGCACTTTTGTGTGCAAATCCACAAACATATGTGTACTATAAAAGTACATAGTATATATGGTATATATGTAAAACAATTGAACACACAAAGGTATCCCTCTTTTAGCAGACTTAATAAGAATTGACTTGGATGAAATTATGCAGTCGTGGACTACCTCTTGGGGTTCAGGACTTCGACCCTTGAACATTAGACGCAATTGTAACTTTTACATCTGCAGAGGAAAGTAATTCCTGCAGCATAATGCAGTCTCCTGCACAGAACACACCTGGCAGGCTAGATCTGACCTCTCTATTATCTGCCTGTCACTTGTTGATCCACCATAACTGTCATTAACATAGATAACAAGACCTCGATGAGAACAACCATTCATAGTTTTCAGAGTGGTAAGCTATATTGCCTGGCTTACGAATCGGTGTCCCAGTTGCCTCCAGAAACACCCTTGTTGATGGGAAGCTTTCCTTGAAAGTTTATGGCATTTTATCATGAACTGTATCTTGTTATGTCCATACGTTCAATTGGAAGTACAAAAAGTTTGTCAAAGTGAGAACTAATGTTGATACTGTACTTTCATTGACATGGAACAATGTGGAAAGGTCAAAATCATCTCTTGTCTGTCTGAATTTTAACAAAGTCATAAATAGCTGATCTTCTGGTTGCGTCACAGAGCACTGGCATGAATGATGATTGACACAGGGACCTAGTACTTGAAAGAAAGACATAAAATTGTCACAATTGTCAAAACCAGAGTAAGACGAAACGGTTTTGTCATTATCTCTTATGTGATGAATTGAGAGTCTGGAGCTTAATTCCGAGAGCAAACTGCACTATGTGGCCACAACTTCTGTATGATCAACAGCATCTTACTGGCAAATAACCTCATCGCAGCCTGGTGAACAAATTTCGCCCTCACAGACCAGATCAGGAGCATCCTCTACATCTATAATATAGTGTCTAGTTTTTCTTGGTTTACTCACTTTCTTAAAGGAGAACACTGTTTGTATTGCACCCCTCTTCAGTCTTTACTTTCCTGTAAAGAAAATATATGGAAATTATTTCAATATAACCTCTTCAATATAACATCTTTTATTATTATGTCACCTGAATAACTTGATATAATAGTATGCTAACTGATAGATCATTATCCATATTCATCTACAATATGTGCATATAGGCCTACTCAAGACTGGCATAACTGGTTGGTATAATTTAATTAATTATGTAACAAAGATCACGTTAAAGACTATACGACTGAATGTTCTTCATTGCAATACACATCATTAAAATTTGGTCAAACACAATTATTTATTTCAGTAAAGTTCGGCACAGAGGATGACTGATTTTGTTTATGCCAATATTTGGGAAAGTCGATGTGCACCCAGATCATAAAACATACTGTGACTAATCCACTATATTCATGATGGATTTACACATTAAAATTACTGAAGATTGTTATCATTTGGATATTCACCAATACCAGTCTTGTGACGTACAGGAAAATAATAGCATTTGTTCGTTCACTGGTTACTAACTTCGTTGCTGATGATGATTTCCGGTGTCCGATGGCTTGTTGTCGCTGTCAAGGAGGTGATTACACAAACCACTGAATAGTGACTTGGTTTCAATAATTTCTTAAATCCCGGATCCTCTTTCCTGATCGCCACATACTTCATGCACAAATCCAGATCGTGATGAAAACTGTGGCCGTCAGAACGACTGACACATTACGGTACACAACAGCGCAAGGCATTTTATATGTAAATAACAGCATACGGAGCTTGTAACAAGGACGGAAATTCCGCAATGCCCCCTGGGCCGCGTTTTCATTACGGTGTTTGCCATTGTTTGCAGTCTTTTTCCAGTGTTGATAACCCGATGGTTTTTAAATTCCAAGTACATCGAAATCTGCGTTATGTCAATCCAATGTTAAATCAGAACATAATGTGAGTAAACTCCCTGCAATTGCACCTAGACAATATGGCTTTAGTTTTATCTGTATTCATTTATAAGCCAGACATTAGTGTACTTACTGCTTCATTTAGAGCTGTGTCGTCTAGAAATAGTTCGGTGTCATCCCCGTATTGACCTATTACGTGCTCACTTTCTCCAAGAACTATTCTTGTTACATTTGTATTATTTCTTATCATTATCCCAAGTATTTCTGCGACAAAAAGAAACAAATATGGGGACATCGGATCTCCTTGTCAACATCCTCTCTCGACTTATGTTTCTTATATTCAAATAGATATATATGCACGCCAAGAAGAATGTACGACAAGAAGGTTTTGTCTCATTACTTTATAAAACAAACATAGAAATGAATTCTTGGTGAAAAGGCAGGACATTCGAAACACAGTAAACAAGAGCACTCAAAAGTAATGCCTCGTTTAACAGCAGTCCAGAAAGAGTGGGAGGAATAAAGCCATTAGTATGGCCCCGAAGGTAAATCCTTCGTGTAAACACGCTCATTGATGAGTCGTTACATCCCCAGACATTAACTCTGAAATTGTTCCATCCCCGCGACAGCAACGGTATCGACGGCAGTCAACAGTGTTATTGCGATTGAGGGAACATGGTATCTGAGCACGTCCACCCAACAGTGGAATGACCATGACTACATGGAACGAAATTGATACTAAAATGCCACTCTCATTGAATATATATGTTTTAACTTTGAATAATGGTGTGCTTTCTTGTGGATGTGCGTTGATACACAGGTGATCAGTATCGTCTGTCCGTCACAAGTCGTGAGAAAGGTATATTCAGTCTATTTATAAAAAAAACCACTGTAATAGTATTGACCAATCGCTGATGCATTATAGATTGTGACGACCTTACCCGAACAAATAGCATTTCGCACTTCATCACTGACACTGGCAAGTTCATCAAACGTGTTGAGGAGAAACACCTTACTCTTGTCATCTACTAGAGCTGCCACTTCCTCAAATTTTATCGAACCTCCGATGCCAACAAATATGAAATCAACACCCATATTCCTTGCCATTCGGGCTTCCTCTATCGTTTTAGCTATATTCTTTGAATATCCATCAGTTATTAAGACAGCTTTCAACAAAGTATTTTGACGTGATTGCTGAGAGAACATATATCTCAATGTCTTAAGAGCCATGTTGGTGCGCGTTCCGTCACGAGGCTGAGCTGCTGCGAGGACAAAGTTACTAAAGGTGTCAGGATCTGCTGGTTTGTCCAATTCGGTAATGACGCTTACATCTGAACTAAACACTTCGACTCCAACATGTAGGTGTCTGAAAGATGGAGCAGTCATTTGCAGTGTGGCAGTATTTACCACAACAAACGCTTTCTGCTGAAGAAATGCTGATTCTGAGACACTTTCGGATCCATCCAAAAGGAAAACCAGATCAGTCTGATAAGGACAACCTGAAAAAATATACAAACATAGTTTTACGTATATACCGTAATGCATAGACATGTCTTAATATGTATTAACATTAAAGTAAAAACTAGGAGTAGGTGAGTTTAAAAAATTAAAAATGAAGCCACATCGTGACTATTCATTAGATGTTATACATCAATGATATAGAAACCTGTCAATAAAAGACAGTAAAATAACTTGACTTTCCCACATTTATATCATTTAAAACAAGTATGCAACGATATAAAATGTAACTTTACATAACAATACATTACAAAAACAGGCCATAGATCACCAGCAACCAAAGTTGCTGGGACCCCGGGGACCTGCGGTACCTCTGGTACCTCTGATACCCCAGCAGGATTACACCATCCTTTACGCCGCTGCCTATTGTTGTTAAATTTTGCCGAATAACACACCTTCTATCATTAAAAGGGTAGCAGTTCAACAAGTACTTTGCGTGACGTGGTCTCACTTTCCCCCTCAAGGCAACAATCTTACAATACTTATACCCTTTCCAAGGACAACAGCTGAATGGGCGCTATATTTCAAGATATATTTTTGCAGCAGAAATATCTAATTATGTTTTTATACCAAGGGGCGGAATAAGAGATGTATTTTATTGTAGAAATCATCATAAAGAGGATTAAGTGAGTGAGTGAGTATGGTTTTACGCCGCTTTTAGCAATATTCCAGCAATATCACGGCGGGGGACACCAGAAATGGGCTTCACACATTGTACCCATGTCGGGAATCGAACCCAGGTCTTCGGTGTGACGAGCGAACGCTTTAACCACTAGGCTACCCGACCGCCCCTAAAGAGGATTAAAAGCAGACTGGATTGGATTAAGTAGAATGAAATTTAGTAATCAGCCTCCAGATTCTGTGAACCGGCGAGGTTCTGAAAGCTCAAAGACGAAGCCTCAGATTAACTTTTCCAAGCTCCACTATAAACGTTTTACCTGTATCCACTTTGAATTACAGATTTAATTACATTGTGTACAACAGGATGGCGACGGGAATAATGTTCAGGGATTTTTGGGCCTCCCTTTAGAATTGTTTGAACAACTGTTTTATTGAGTTGTTCTGAAAAAAAGTGAATCGGATCCTCAATATGTTTTGAATATTCAGAGATTAATTTTGCAGTATATAGTCTTTCATACAATGATTCCTAGCTTTAACAATGGTGGGGAAGTGATCGCTTCCACAGAGGTTATCAAGGACCAACCATTCAACGTCTTTAATAGGTTTGAATCTTTGTGGGACAGTTTAAGCCCTGAATATGTTCCAGTGGCAGGATGTAAATACATGTCCATCAGTGCCGTAGTGTGTGTGTGTGTGTTGGGGGGGGGGGGGGATTTTTTATTGAAAACATTTTTTCCTTTCTTATTTGCCCTCCCCTGTCACAAAAAGTTAACTAGGGCCTTGATGTCATTACAAATACATACATTATTGTCAAAAATGAATTCCTCAAGTACCTTCCCTCATTGTGTGTGTTCAGAGGTCCCCAAAGAAGGTTGAGCCCATTCAGATCACGCATGATTATGCATGGTTTCGGGAGCAGATCATATAGATTTTGAAGAGAAGATTGTCGATGTGGAGCGAGCGGAGGAATATACAATGAGCACAGTGTGAATACAGAGTGCACACTTAGATGAACAGCACCAGCACCACGGAAGTAAATGACACCCTGCCTCACAAAAATAAAAGTTCCTCAAGAAGCTTTATCCCCTGGTGAAGAAAAGGAGCGATGACAGTTGTACAGCATTATATCAAATGTATCGGTATGTTTCATATACGTCTTTTGGCGACAAACTTTTTATGGTTTACAGTCTTGTATTATCAATTATTTATGAGTCTTCTGCATTTCCACCGAATGAAACTTGCTTTTTTTTAAATTGTTGGCGACATGTAGGCTCAGATGCTGCGTCATATGGATCTTGTGGAGGATCCTCTGTTTGAGCGGCTGATTAACTTATCTGTAGAGTGTGGCATGATATCATCAAGTGTAACCTGTGTCTCGGTCACTAAGTTTGAGATGAAATAGATTCTTTTGTAACCTTGGAAGCAAATGCAACAGGAGCAAGAACAGGAGGAAAATGCAGCAAAAATGGTAAACAGAAGAGCTTGACTTTGATTGTGAACTAATCATTTGCCTTCAGATAAGGAGATATTGTTTGTGTATTTTGTTACTGACATTCAATATTTTGACAGATATGTAGAATCTGCTTTGATACAATATGGTACAAAATACTTTTATGCACAAGGAGTCAAACTATTCCAGCATCAATATCAACATTAAAACTGTATACGTTTAGTTACAAACCAAAACATGAGAAATGATGAAATCGTACTGAGGAAGTCTAAAAGGAAGTAGTAGCGAAAAGGATTGCCCTATCAAACATATGAATTAGTCCTTAGATTCCCAAATTCACCAAATTCTGTAATTGTAACGTGAATAATGTTGAGGCATTCTTAATGAAGTACAAACCTAATCTACCCGTGAAGATCCGGGTTAGATCTTGACTAACTCATGCTTGCCGTAAGAGGCGACTATGGTTGTCGCAAGAGGCGACTGACGGGATCGGGTGGTCAGGCTCCCTGACTTGGTTGATGTCATCGTATCCTAATTGTTTGGGTGAATGCTACCATTATCAATCACTGAATTGTCTGGTCTAGGCTAGGTTATTTAAAGACCACCGTCATGTAGCTGGAATATTGCTGAGCGCAATTCAAATGTAGTGAATTCCCATAATGTTGACACCATTTTCTTTGACGTCATGTCCTTGATGACGTCGGAAAAAGACGGTAATTTGATTTATATTTATCATGGTATGGAAAACCGCGACACAACATTAGATGACTGTTTTTACCACGTAAATAATGTCTTGAATAGAACCACAATTAAAAAGTTTTACCGTGTCTTTTATTTTGACAAGCAAGACACGCACTTTTTTGACGTATCAAATACCCAAAGGATTAGTTCAAAACAAGCAAATTTCGATACTGGACATGTATTTTTCATTATTATTGTCTATCTATCTCAATCTCGTTTAAGAGATATAGAATAAAAGGTGAGAGGAAAGCTTTTTTGGTAAAGAATTATAAGGATAATCGTAAAAGTGAGTGAGTTAAAATTTAACGTCGCCTCACGAGACCAAGTTGATACAATGTACATACACTGTTTGTTTATGAATGCAAAGTTATATTTAAAAACAATTTGACATATTTAGGCTTCGCTGGGGATCAGGGAGGCTTACATTACCTCCTGGATGATACCCAAGCAGGGTTTACGTCATCACTTTAGATTCTGGTGGTTGTGCACAATACTAGCCAATATTAAAAATATGCAGTATTGTTCCGCCATTCACGACGTTTGTTTCACTGAAACTCATTCAGATGATACAGTCAATAATGATGTCTAACGATGGCAAAACTACCGTGATCCGATAAGTAAAGATAGAAATGCATTTGGGGGAAGGGTCATAGTCTATGTACATGAAACGTTAGCATATAAAAGATTGAATTATTAGAAAATGTCCTTGATGAAACTACATGGATACAGATATTTCTACCACAAAAATCCTTAATTCTGCGAGTTGTGTACAGACCAGAGTATAATATAAATAATTTCTGGAATCGCCTAGACGACAGTATTCATACTGATACATGTAATTTAGTTATTGTCGGAGATATTAATGAAGATCTTTTGTCTGCGAGAGAACTTCCTGTAAATGATTTGTTAGACAGAAACAAATTACGCAGTGTGATAAATGAACCTACCTAGTACTTTACTAGATCGGATAATTGTAAGTGAAGATGTTTCTGTGGATGATTCTGGAGTGATTGATTTTCAAAATGAGATTACTGATCATAGAGGCACGTATATATCAGTGAAAACACATTTATTAACCAAGTCATTGTTTACTAGAGATATATGATGTTATAGAAGAGGTAAATATGATTAATTAAACACCCTTATTCAATCAACTGATTGGATTGACGTTTTTAACAAATGTAAAGATTTTGATGAATCTATTGAATGAACTCAAACTGTAATAATTATATATAAATGTGTGTACCCTCTAAAAAAGGTTAGGATTCGACCAAATGATAAACCGTGGTTTAATTCCGAATTACGGAAGGCAACAAAGAAAAGAAACAGGTTACTTAAGATTTCAAGGAAATAAATAAAGACAAGGACAGAACATTGTACAGAAAACAAAGAGATAAAGTAAATAGTATGAATCATTATGCAAAGGAAATGTTCTACTCCAATTTAGACAATTTCGATTTTGAATTTTACAAATCTTCTTATTGGAAATTGTTGCGGTTCTTAGTAAAAAATACAGGTAAGACTTCATCTATTCCTTTCTGCGAAGGTATGTCACAGATGAAAGCCAAAATGTATACTCAGATTTAGATAACGATAATCAGTTAAACAAGTATTTTTCATCCATAGCAAACGTTGATGGAAGTAAGGCGAGATAGCCAAATATAATATAAATAAAACATTTGGCACTTTGTGAATAAACGTATATGAAATAAGTGATATAATAAAGTCTCTCCCGTTGAATAAAGCTTCAGGCCCAGATCGCGTAAGTCATAAAATTCTAAAACATACTGTAGCATCTTTGAGTGAAGTCTTATGTCTATTATCTAATATCTCTTTGAGAACGCGTACATATCCAAGCCAATGGAAATATGCCCATGTTATGCCACTATTGAAAGAAGGTGACCTAACACTATCCTCACATTATAGACCAATATCTTTGATAAGCTGTATCGGGAAAGTATACGAAAGAGGTGTATTCAAGCACTTGCACAATTATTTTCGTGAGAATTCGTTGCTGTACAAATACCAATCAGGATTCCAAGCCGGTCACTCGACCGTCAACCAACTGGTAGAATTATATAATCAAGCCGATAACAAATAGTTCTGTTGTATGGTATTCTGTGTATATTTCAAAAAGCGTTTGATAGAGTATGGCACAGTGGGCTAATA